GAACCCTTTTCCGCCGCAATCCACGAGCCGGAGCAAAGCCCCACGGCTGAGAAGAGGATCGCCAACCCCAGCCCCACTGAGGACCCTGAGCCCAGCCCACCATCTCCCCGCGGTACGGAGCATAAACCTGAGCCCACCGATGACAGAGAACCCTTTTCCGCCGCAATCCACGAGCCGGAGCAAAGCCCCACGGCTGAGAAGAGGATCGCCTCAGATATGGAGCCCAACACGTCAGACCAGGTGCGAGAGCCGGTGACAGTGCCCACCACGAGGGAGCAATCCGTGGACGGTGTGAGCGCGGAGAGGAGCTCCGCCGCCTGCATCATGGCTGAGGGAGAGCAGAATATGGAGGGCGGTCAGTGCCAAAAAAGAGGAGGAGAAATCTCCTGATCCCCAGTCCAGCCCAGTAAGGGCTCCTGATCCCCAGTCCAGCCGAGGAATGGCTACTGATGTTTCGCTTAGCCCAGGAAGGGCTCCTGACCAAGAGCTCTCTCCAATGCCCGCTCCTCAAAAATGACCGCCCTCCCACCCGCTCCAGCCTCCTCCAGCGTCACCATGGTCGGAGTCTCCCTCGCTTCCGCCTCCAGCCTCCGAGGCCCGGACTCTGCCTCGGCCCGTAGACCCAGTGGCTCCACCTCGGCTCCTAGCTCCCTCGCCTCCACCGTCACCCATCGACCCATCATCTCCACCGTGCTCCCTCGTCCCTCCGGCTCCGCCTTGGTCGGGTGTCGACCTGCCATCGCCTCTGGACTACTCTCCTCTGGCTGCGCCGCGTCGCTCTGTCCTACCGGCTCCGTTGGGCTCCTTCCTCCCGTCAGCTCATTGTGTTCACCTGTCTGCCCCCCCCGTTATCTGCCATATAAGTTCCTGTCTCTTGTATTCTAGTGTTGTCAGTTATTATGAATGTTACCCTGAGTGTGTGTCTCTCTCTCTGCCTTGTTGTCGCTACATTAAAGATCCTTATTTTGTATCCTTGTCATCCTCGTCATCCTGCCTGCCTCCACACACCTGGACCGTGACAATTGTGAATAAAGAATGAATATTAGTCGAATTTAAAATAAATGTTAGCGTCATCAGTGGCGTGCGAGACGCGGTGATGATGATGTAAGTGAGGTTGTTGCATTTTAATGTTTTGTTAGTCTAGCCCACGAGATGCGCCACTGCTGCGTTATTCATTCAAGATATTAGAGAAATATAGAAGCTCAATGCGGAGAAGATCTTGAATGGGTTAAAACCGAAACCAAACCATTCACACAGAACGTAAATTCAGCGCATTTTTAGACGGACAAATATGACTGCTGCACTCGCGTCTCACAGAAGAGATGTATAGAAAGCCATGCAAAGTTAAAACAGTTTAAACTTTTAGAAAACACTTCACAAATTTGTGGAGGTTTATTCCTTTTCACTGCGTCTCATATGTTTTTAAATGCAGTCTGTGTGAATGTCGCGTCATCTCTTTGGATTAAGCAATGCATAAATACATGATGCTGTTCTGTTCATAATTGTTTATGCAATTTACAATTAATTTAGACAAAATGCACATTTTTATAGAGTTACTTGCTAAATGCGCTGCATTATTTTGCTCATTGTGCCCTCCTGTGGCCTCGGGAGACAATTAGACCTATACAAAAAAATACCAATTTAATCTGCACATAAAACATTAGAAATTAGATATGTTTAATTTTTATTGTGTTTGATTGTTAAAACTAAAAATATGTGTTGTTTGTCTCAATAAATTGTGTTAATTATAAATACAGTGGTTAAATAAAAAAAAATGTTTTCTATTGCTTTTTGCTTTAAAAAAGGTTATAAAAATGTAAATAATTATCGATACCGAATGATATGAAACATTATATCGTTGATACATTTTTTAGCTATATCGCCCAGCCCTATTTATGACACAGTTGTTGTCAGATTTCTTTGGTGATTTCAAATATGAAATTGAATCGTAAGTTTAGTGAACAGTTTTGGAGAACTTGATGTTTCCCCATTCAAAGAGATAGGAGTTGCACTTGCATGCCTGAGAGGCGTTTCAAAGATGGCCACCGAGTAACATGACTTGTCTTAAAGGGACTTTGACTGAACTCAATATGCTGTTCAGGGTATTGTGTACACAGGGTCATAAAGTTCTTCGGCAACAAACTGCCTCTCGATATTTCAGCTGAACACACTTTACATATTGCTACTCTAGCATCAGCTCTGTTCACGGTGAAGTTTGTCTAGCCATCTATACAGCTGACATGTTTAACTGTTGTAGCTTATCTTTTTTTTTTTTGATCGTGACTGTGCAACCGAGTGTCGATTACAGTAAAAAAAGGAACAATGGGAATATTTAATATCAATCTCAAAATACAGTGAGACAACAGCAAACACCAGAAAAAAACAAAAAAAACATGCTGACACATGTGCCTGTGTACACATTCAGACTTGACCTGTTTTTTTCTTAGACATCAACTGCTCTCCTCCTCACCCTGAGGCCCTTAAACAATGAGCTGTCCTTTCAGTTTCATACAGTCCAGCTAAAAGAGGTAGATATCACCAGAAATAGTAATAACAGGCCTTAAAAAGAATTGCAGGACTAATATTAGTTGTGTTCAAGATGTACGTGACATGACTGTCATCTATGGCTTAACATCACTGGTAAAGCTAGTGCAGACTAGACTGATGTAGGTTGTTCTCTTAGTCATGATGTTTGTTCTATGGATTGAGTAATAATCCTTTCAGCTTCTGCCTGAAATCACATGGTGCTAATGAGAACCAGGAAGCACTTGGTGCTCAGAAAGGAGGTAACATGTTGCTGTCATGTAGTTCAATATAAATAGAGGGGCTTGTTGTTTTTAAACTGAGCATTCAATTAACAGATACAATTTGGTCACATGAGATTTACTCCTTGTCAGATGGACCTGGTTTCATATGTGTGCATGGCACGTATGTATTTAAATAACGTTTCACTGCCAAATGTGGGAGTAGAAGAGAAGGTGTGTAATGAAACAAATTAAAATGTGTTAGAGGTGTGAGTGAACTAAGATAGATAGTGAGGTCTTCAGGGGCAAGGAAGAGGAAGAACAAAAAAGAAGAAGATATTTTACATGATATTGAGTTTTCTCATTGGCTTAAGTTTTAAAGACGACCATAAATTGCAAATCAGAAGTAGTAAATTACAAAGTAATTTTACCATTTGCATTACCATTAGAAATTCTGCACAGTGCACACTGGTCTATAAAATGTAGGCTAGAAAAAACATTGTGGGTTGGATTTTGAAGAGTAAAAACAGTAATATTGTGAAATATTATTAAAAAATAATAATAATGGTTTTCTAAATAGATATATTTTAAAAAGTAATTTATAATGTAATTTTCAGCTGCCATTAAACCTCCATGCCACATGATCATTCAGAACTCATTCTAATATGCTGGGTTGCTGCTCAAAATTGCTTATTATTATCAATGTTAAAAAACACTTGTGATGCTTTATATTTTTGGGGGAATTCGTGATACATTTTGCAAGATTTTCTGATTTAATACAAGATTCAAAAGAACAATTTATTTGTAATAGAAATCATCTGTAAAATTATAAATGTCTTCTCTGTCACCTTTGATTAATTTAATGCGTTCTTGACTAATAAAAGAACTGTACTAATTTCTTTGCTTTATGCTTCAATTAGGCTCTTTCCTTCATTATGATATCGACATCAATTTGAATTTTCATACAGAATCATGAAAACATGTTCATCATAAGAGGAATATTCAAGTCAAACTAGGCTAAGAGAAATTGACATAGTCTGTTCAATAGATTGTACTGTTGTATACTTGGGTGTTGTGCATTCAGCTGATGCATGTGAAAATATTTTTTTCCATACAACATCCTGGGGCCAGTTGCATAAAACGTTTAGACTAGACTAGTCTTACAAGTAAGTCATCTAATATTGTTTGTATTTAAGACTGGTCATATATATATATAAAACATACATATTTTTTTCTTTATTTGGTTACATAAAAATAGATTAATCTATGTTGAATTTAAAAAATAAGACTGATTACCCCTTGGCTACTTGCTAGTTGGTCAGACTAGTTCTTAACCCAGATAGCACACATACGTCTGCAAGATGTTTGTTAAAGATCACTTCATCTGGAAAGCATCTGCTGTGTACAACCATCTGATAGATGTCTCTAAGATGTCAGTTTTACATACATTCTAAATCATAAACATCTTAAAAGACATTTAAACGTCTATTTGACATCTGATAGGAAACGTCCTGTAGACGTATTGCAGATGAGCAAACACTCTAAAAATAGCTACGTCTTGCAGATGTAAATGTAAACGTTAAATAGACATCTCCGTGATGTACGTGTGCTATCAGGAAAGACACTGTCTTTACACAGAGGCTAAGTTTATGCAACTGGTCCATGTTGTGTGAAAATTAGCCCTTAACTTACTGTATGTCTATCCCTTACAGCCAAAATGTTAATGTCATCCACCTTTTCAAAAGATATATGAAGGGAGGCACTTCTGATCAATTTCATAGTTTTACTCAGCAGTTTGTTCATGTTGTTTACCTTTGCTTCCGAGGTTTCTGAGCCTCACTTTCAAAACAGCAGCTGAAATGAGCCTAATGTTAGCTTTCGTGAATGGCCTCAGCTGAATATAAAATAAGCTTAAATGTTACAAATCCTGGTAACAAGTAACACAGTGTAATTCTGAACTATATTTAGGTCTTGCTCTGGTAAAGCAACAATGCAGGTGTACTTGACAGCCCATTACTGCATCTAGGGATTTCCCAGGTAAACATAATATGCTGCTATACAGCTCTAGCTTGTCTCTTTGTATAGGTGAGTAGTCGAAATGATAAGCTTAGGATCAAAAACTAAACCTTGAAATGCCATACTAAGAGTCACTTGGTGGGAGTGGGACAAACATGGGTGTACATATTTTGGAGAATATTTTAGGAAATATTTGCTGACTAAAACGTGTTTTAATTTGATTCCGAAGGACTAACTTACCAACAGTGGCAATAGTGTCCAGGTCATCTAGTGTGTAGGTCCTGTTGGTGGTCAGGGATGCGGCCCCTGCGGATAACGTGGGACTGCCTGCGTCTGTCCTGCCACTATCCCGACCAGAACTGCTTTCACTATGTAGTCCAGCTTTGCCTTTAGTTGCTGCCATCTTCTTCCGTATGCTTTTCTAACTCTAGCCACATTAATGGCCACTTCTAGATACCAAGTCCAGGATTTCCGCTTTTGGAAAACGCTTTTGATAACACACACACATCTGTTTCGGTCAAGTTAACATATCCTTTGTTCGCATAAACCAGACTGAAACCCTCTGCTTTTCATCGCCTGGTAGCCAGACATTTATCAGGACTGTAAACAACAAGTCGTTACAATTTCAAGCAATTCATGTCAATGGTACTTTCTTTTATTCTGCACTTTATTACAGACGTCCCCTGCACGACTACTGTAGCGTTACGTTAACAAAGCCAGGAGCGGACAGGTTTCAAACTTCAGTCTTACGAATCCAGGAGGTTATCCAGTCGAATTTTTCAGGAGCAAGGATACGGCATGGACGCTGGTTGATAGTCGCTTAATGTATATTGCCAGATATAAGAGATTTAAATTATTTAATTCCCTCTTCCGTCCCCATCAAAGACATCTGAACCCATTTCCCCTTCAAAACATCGTTCAGCGGCAAGGAAGCAGAGAAACGCTTGAAAACTGACAGGCATCGGCGTCAACCAATCATATGCAGCGCGCTTGCTGTAATGTCCAATCGAACGTAAGAAAAGGCGGGGCACTTCCTGACTGAACGCTTGAGTGTACGTATTTTTCCTGTGTTTTGTAGCACATGTAGCCAACGTAGACTTACCACGCCTTGGGTACTATTTCGGGGGAGGAGGACACGTTGTAGCACGAGTCTTGAGTCTTTCAGATAACAAGTTGGCTAGTGTTGGCTAGCCTCTATGGCATAGTGTTGCCCAAAAAACCACTTTTTTGGACCTCCCCCCCCCCCCCCCTTAATAATAATTTAAAAAAAAAAATAATATATATATATATATATATATATATATATATATATATATATATATATATATATATATATATATATATATATATATATATATATATATATATATATATATATATACACACACACGCACATATAATATCACCTGACATGTCTGTTCAATAAAATGATGGGCTGAAGTGGGTGTAGCCTTTTGTTTGGTGATGGAGCAGTCATTTTAGGAAGCAAAGCTGTATGGGACACAGTGCCACAAATTGGTAAGATAAATAGCACTGTTTAACATGTTTAAAATGAAATATCTTTATATAAAAATATATGCATGAGCATCAATATGTAAATAAGTATGTTTGATTATTAAAATACTTATTTTGTTTTTTTATTTATATACTAAAACAGTTTTTTTGTTGTTGTTGTTGCCTCAGGGCAACATTGTGCAGTTAAGAGCACTTTTGTTCAGGCAATAGGCCTATCATACTAAAGTGTGGATGCATATTAGAACCATATGGTGCATTCAAGTTCTCCTATGAATTTTATGTTTACGAGCGATGGAGCAGTCATTTTAGGAAGCAAAGCTGCATGGGACACAGTGCCACAAATTGGTAAGATAAATAGCACTGTTTAACATGTTTAAAATTAAATATCTTTATATAAAAAATATATGCATGTGCGTCAGTATGTAAATAAGTATGTTTGATTATTAAAATACTTATTTTGTTTTTTTATTTATATACTAAAACAGTTTTTTTGTTGTTGTTGTTGCCTCAGGGCAACATTGTGCAGTTAAGAGCACTTTTGTTCAGGCAATAGGCCTATCATACTAAAGTGTGGATGCATATTAGAACCATATGGTGCATTCAAGTTCTCCTATGAATTTTATGTTTACGAGCTCTTAAAACTCAAAGAATGTGCATTATGTGTGTAATTGAAATTTATTATTATTATTATTATTATTAGGCTGCCACAGATAATCAAGCCTATCAGCTGATAAAATGACTAAATGAGTAGTGTTTTCTGGCAAACTTTATCTTCACACACACACACGCTGGCACACACACAGTGACACACGCAGGCACACACACAGTGACACACGCAGTGACACACACAGTGGCACACACAGTGACACACGCAGGCACACACA